TCACCCACACACACACACACACAGATACACACACCATTGTATACTGCATATACACATATATATTGTAACAAAAGTAGATTGAACATTTGTAAAAAATTATATTTGTAAAATCTCAGCGATATTAAAATGAGTAATTCCAACGTTTCGTTCGGAAATCTGGTCCGAACTTCTTCAGGGAAATTAATCGAAATTAACATAACAGGTTTATATATAAAAGGAACATCTTTTGTTTTTAAAAACTTTGTCCAATCATGATTCATAAACCAAATATTAACAAGTATAATAAACAAAATTGTACGAGTTGTGATCAAAATTTGACCTCAGACTTACAAATATTGATCTACCTTTGTTAAACACTTTAAACACAGTGTGTATGTGTGTGTGCGAATAAACAGTTGTAAAACAATGTCTTAACATCTCCATAAGTAGATATAGACAGTCGGGAAACTTTGACCAAGTATTATTAGTTAGTGATACATATCCATTCTTATTTATTAATCAGGATTTCCTATGCGTCAGCTAACACACATCACACCTTCATGTGATGTTCAAACTGCTAGTATCTAGAATTTTATGATTAGACGTATTTTCAAAATTATGGTGTTTAGGATTAGAGTTTATTACTTTGTCTTCTCTCTGAAAATTGAGCTGCTTTATTTGACCTACTGAAGTTGTCAGGTGACTGGACAGCTACGAATTTAGGATACGCATTCTGTTGCAGACAACGGAGAGTGGAAACACGATGATTGTGCCAATTACATAGTTTCTTTGCTAATTTAATTCGATTACAAAATAAATCAAATGAACTGTAGTCAAGATTTGACAGAATAGTTCTATAATATTTGGGCACCGAGTGAGAAGTAGACATTTGTAAAAAATTATATTTGTAAAATCTCAGCGATATTGAAATGAGTAATTCCAACGTTTCGTTCGGATATCTGGTCCTGTTATGTTTATTTCGATTAATTTCCCTGAAGAAGTTCGGACCAGATTTCCGAACGAAACTTTGGAATTACTCATTTCAATATCGCTGAGATTTTACAAATATAATTTTTTACAAATGTCTACTTCTCACTCGGTGCCCAAATATTATTGAACTATTCTGTCAAATCTTGACTACAGTTCATTTGATAAAAGTAGATTAATTTTGAAAGGCTGAGGTCAAATTTTGATCACATTTCATACAACTTTGTCTATTATACCTGTTTCATGATTCATATGATAGGACAAACATTTTAAAACAAGAGATGTCCTTTTATATATAAACATACATTTATATTTGGTGGATGGTGATTAGAAGTGGAATCCAGGATGCGCATTTCGCCTGTCCTATTTAGGACTCGTCATCTGGATGCGGCTGCATTTCTCAGTGAGTGACTGATGATGTTCCCACCGAGGCTCGAACCCAGTACCCAGACATCATTGAAGCATCTTCACAAGAAGCCGACATGTCAACCTGAGACCGAACACTTCGGTTCAATCAATCGACGGGAAAATGTCAAATTCAATAAACCATACTTCATATTTTTTATTATATATGTTGATGCCTGTTTCATGGCTGATCATTGGAGAATGTTTCAAAAACAAGAGATGTTCCTCTTATACACATAAAACTCTGTTATGTTAGTTAATTTCGATTAATTTCCCTGAAGAAGTTTGGACCAGATTGCCGAACACAGGAAACGTTAGAATTAATCATTTCAATTTCCCTGGGATTTTAAAAATATAATTTTATAAAATTAGTTTACTTCAACTCCATTTGTGCACTTGTGAGCTTTTTCTCAATTTTATAAAAAGAAAGTCATATAGAGTGAGTTTATTAGTTATCCAGAGAGGGACACTAATTATAGCAGCATAGTTCGTTACTATGTCCACGTAATGACATAAGTTATATCCATATATATGAACGTTTTGACATTGAATTATAAATTTAAAACAAATCGATTTTTCCTGCCTACAACAGTAAATATTCGCTTGATATTATTCCTATTTAGATTGCGTAGGTTTCGAAGTTGAACGCATACATCTGTATTTGCATGATTCCATGTTAGTGTGTGTTTGTTTGTGTGTTTGTGTGTGTGTGTGTGTGTGTGTGTGTGCGTGACTTATTTCATCTGAAATTTTGTTTTTGCTTTTATTCCTATGCTAATGGCGCTAAATCAAATTTCAACAGTATGGAATTTAAAATCACTGGTCATTTGCATTCACAGCATGAAACATAGTGTACAAGCAATTTCACTGAATAATTTTACATTTCTATGTATATATATATATATATATATATATATCCAAGGGTATAAGATGCAAAATCCCGTGTGTGTAATTATGTTTGCATTTGCCAAATGTTTAAGGCGAATATATATATATTCATTAGATAGTCACATAGCAGTGTGTTGATCAACTCATCCAGTCTTAATATCCCATGTTTAAATTAAGTCGTCGACAAAACGTGTCGTTAGTCCCAATAGTTCATTGGTAACCTCTCTTGACTGATTACTGGGATGCATCACAATGGTTAGCTACATAGCATACTGACTACATGGCTTACTTAAATGAGGGAGTACAACCAATAGTGACACGAGGGATTAGTCATATCACATTGGTTACATCCTAGGAACTGATGAATAGAGAGACTAAAGTAAAGTGACCCGAGAGAATGACTAACAAAATACACCAAATAAATACGTGTTGCCACTGATGATGTGCACGAATTACGCTGCAAATTTCATCCATGTCTAGTATTTTAGTAGTCGCTGGATTAGAGACCTTTAGAAAGGAATAAAACATATCCAGTGCTGCCTACAGTCAGAGACGTTATCACTGAACTATTCAAGCCAGCGATCGACCTCCTGTAGGACTGTAGTGGATATTTCGATTGAAAACTAGTAACTAGAGTGATGTGTATAGTCCTTTCTCCGCTGCAGACTGAATTCTATCAGTCAGGTTTGCAATGTCGCCACCATTCCAGGTAGCTCGCCATCAAAGTACTTTGACTTGTCATTGTAAAATGTAAGTTGTTTGTGCGTAGTCAATGGATGCCTGATGTAGGAGGCATTTAGGGAAACTTGTTATCAGCATGATTATTTTCTCTTTAGGTAGACACTCCATCAGTGTTTTTCGAACCGTTGCCATGGCCTGCTTAAAACCTGCGCCATCAAAAACCTGCATCATTCATTATAAAGCATTTAATTTTGAATCGTACATGTTGTTTTAATCTATTAAAATATGATCTCTAGTGGTATTGTTTACCCGCGTGAGTATTTAAAATATCTTACAACTTGCTGATTCTCAGGTTTCTAGTAAACTTTGAAGGAAGGAAGGAAGTATAATCGTGGGTGGCAACGTAGCCCAATACATGAGGTGAGATTTTTAGTGGAAACTGTCTGTGTCTGAGAAGAAAAATCTAACTACCCGCCATCTTTAATTATTCACTTATGTCCACTGGGTCTCAAAACATATTCCTACACTGTTTTAATTGGTTATCAACGTGCGTCGGTGGCACAGCGGTTAGAGCTCTCGCCTACCATGCACATGGTCCGTGGTTCAACCCCCTGCTGACGCACACCCGATATCTATGGTCAGCCTGCAAAATTTGGGCTACCGATATCACATGCTGAAAATTTCATACTTGTACCAAAAATACAGTGTGGAATCAAGCTTTAATCAAAATCAAAAAAAAAAAAAATATCATGTATTTATCGAAGGTGATAAAGAAGAAATACCACAAGGGAGTGGTTTGGTGCTTCAGATCAAACAGCATTGTATCACGTGACCTACTGGGTCAATTATTATCTTACTTGAATATTCTGGAAGAAGAGGAACAACTTAGACAAAAATTCCTCTGAAAATTCTGTACATTATCTAAACACTATCCAGAATAAAGTTTCTTTTATTATAACATATTACTATTATAAATCTAGTAAATTACTAGGAGTTGGTGAGTAAAAATAATGCGGAAACTAGTAATGGAAACATAAATAGGAGAGAACATAAGGCATCTGAAGTTTTACCATATACGAAAGGGATATCTGTGACCCTACACGGGATTCTTAATAAAGGAGGAATTAGGGTGGTGGCGTTTAAACCTATAAACTCACTGAAGTACGACAAGGTCTGTAGATTAAAGGACCTTGTTGACTCAATTAGACAAAATAATATAAATTACAAAATATTCAGAAATGACTGTGAGGTCAATTACATAGGTCAAACTAGTAGATTGAAGGTAATCAGACTGTCAGAACATACGAAATTCGTTAAAGTAAGATTGGTTGACCCAGAGAAATCTCAGCTATTGCACTGCATGCATTAACACACAACCGCACAATAGGGTGGGAGAGGGTTAAAATTCTAAAAAGTAATCTATGTAGGTGGAGAGAGAGAGAGAGAGGTTGATTACTGAATCCTGCATGGTTCATCGAATCTACACTCAACAAGTACAATAGGAATGAATCACTATTCATACCGGGATATGGAAAATGCTACTACAAATCAAGTCAAGCGATGAAAAATAATGAAATTATATAAACGAAGTCTTGTGCGTCAGTTGCACAGCGGAAGAGTGCTCGCCGACCACGCATATGGTGTGGGGTTCTATCCCCGGCCATTGAATCATTCCCTGAACTCGCTAAACGGGTAATAAGACTGTTAGAAAGGGAGGGTTGGGCATGAGGCTAACAACCCCATCCTGTGAAAATAATCACCACAGCTAGAGAAACTTCAGTCCCCTAGCTTGAAGCCCTATGTTCTACCGCGAACTTGAAAGAATAGAAATAAAGATAAACGAAATTAGAGAGTTATGTGAACACCCTGATATGATTATGAGGAATAAATTGTGTTCGAAACGTCATCAGTAAATATAACTGTATAACATAATGGAATTACACTCTACCACAGTGTACAGGTTCTATTCTTATATCAATAAAATGAATGAGGTTTTCTGTGCACTAACTTTATTTGCTGCTTATGTTCTCTAATTGGTGCTTTGTTTTTAATTTCTTTAGTTAGGTGATGAACAAAGAGCTCCTGGTTATTTAGAGTTGATTAACTCATCAAATGATTTATTAATAAGATGGACATCAAATGAATTATTATTACAAGCATCCGATATTAAGAGTTATCGTTGTCATACTGGTGAACAGGATAGTGGCAAAAATTCATTGGATGACCATTTGGAAAAACCAAGCAATACTGAATCAACGAATACTGATGAACATTCAAAGACTTCGAATGCTCTGGAAGATAACAATACAAGGATCGATAAATACCAGTGGGTAATTGCATTTTATTCTCATTTTGGTTAACTTCAGAAGGGGACAGACATGACTTCAATAAAGATCGAACTTAGGACCTTCAGACTATTAGACGATCCTGTTGATTAACATCCAGCCAATGCGTTAAAATCCAATGACCTTTAGGTAGTTAACGGGCTTTCCTTTTAACATAGAGGTTCTAGATTTCATCACTACAGGATTCATTAACGCAAACTACTGAAAAGTCCTAAGCTAGGAGGAAACGTTTACCCCGAATTCTCTGTCTGGTCTTCACTGATTCCCTAACTGATATTAGTTCACGACAAAATTAGGTAAACAGCCTACTAAAACACACTTCGAATAAGGAAAGTTTCTTTACCGAAATGATCTGACATTCATAGATGCATGTGTAACTATGAAAACTGATTTTGAAAACTCGATGATTACGCTCAATAAAGTGAGATCAAATCATTCGTTAGAACAATATTTTGTTAGTGTGCACTGGCGCCAAAAAGAAACTATATCGTAACTGGAGAATGTACATCGAATAAATTATAATTATATTTCAATAGTTTACACCGAATGATAGGTCTTTTGGTAGTATTTCGAGCAAAATTACAAAACATTCCAACAGTTGATGGGATCACGAGGAGTAGTTTCGCTCGAAATATTACCACAAAACAAAACATCCTCGCTAGTGACTTGCTACAGGACGTTATTTCCTGGAGTTCTAGTGGAAAGTCGTGACCAGTGAGGTCCAACCAATAAGTTTTGGGGATGGATTTCCCACCGATGACATTGTTTATTAGTCGCGCTAAATCACCAATTGGTAGGAGTTAGAATACATGCACTAGCTGGCTGACCATTAGAACAGGTTCTTCCAATGGTGGCTGGCTGAATGGTATACCAGCTAGCTAGCTCGTACGCCTTGTTACCACAACGTCCTGGGTTCCACCCTGGCGGTCGGTGGGTGTGTACTGCAGAACAATCATAAACTAGGATGGAGGAAATGACTGTCCAGTACTCCCTGGTTTCCAGTGTTTCTCTAACTGATGTCAATCTATGATCAAACTCGTAAAGAAATTATCACTGCGTGTAAACTATTGAAACATAGTTATAATTAATTTGTTCTGTTCCACGTTCCTCAAACTTATTACTGACATGAAATGCACATTGATGTTGTAACGATAGAGACACGAGTATAGGGTAAATGTATCACAGATGCAGGTGAAATACATCTATCTTACATTAGAATCCCTAGTTAGCCAATATATTCGGTATTGTGTTTCTATGTTTTTCTTCTATATTTTCCATGCTGTTTCACAAATATGATTCCTGAAATCCATCTCTGTGCTATATGATATTTATGCGGCTGATATACATATTTTTTGCCACGTTTGGCAATTTAAAGATTCTTATTGAGTTATATAAAAGAAAACACCTTCAGCGAAGAGCTACTCTTTTTGGAGACATCATTCTCAAGTTGTACAATCACGTGTATACAGAATAAATCTGTTTGGCAACAAAAGGTATATTCCATGATATTAGATGGCTGGAGGCAATTGGAAGGAAGTCTTGCTTGACCTAGATTTCGTGTTAGTTGGTACTCACCAGTCAGTGAGCAAGGCGTATCTGAAACCCTGAAGGAACTCAAGTCCTTTCTTCGGAGATTTGAACCCGCATCACTCAGTGCTGCAGTCAGAGATGTTACCACTGAGCTATTCGAGCTCGCGATTGACCTCCTGTAGGACGGCAGTAGATATTCTGATTGGACACCGTCCTTGCCGATTGCCTCCAATCATCTCATATCATGAAATCAATGTGCACCGTGATGGCGAGCTACCTAGAATGGTGGTCACATTACAAACCTAGCTGATATAATTCAGTCTACACCAAAGAAAGGACAAGATATATCAGACAACTTACTAGTGTGCAATCAAAAAAGGAATATTTCCAGAGGTTTGTCATTAGATTTGTAAGTTTTAGATAACAAATAACCCAATTTAGAAAGCGTTAATGAGTCAGAAGTTTAAATAAGGTTAAATAAGCGATTTGGGAAACCTAATCTAAATGTGATGAGGTTGATTAGAGCTCAGAGACATTTGAAACTGAACAAAAGTCAACTTAACAACAATAAAGGAATCAATTCTCTTCAAACTGCAGAAGCAATGGAGAAACGCATATTAAAACCTAAACTAACAGCCTTGGTATTATTTAGTAAACGAACTCTTAAGGTAAAGTTAAGATTTACTCGTATGCGGTGAATGACTTTGAAAGCCACCTCGTTGACATCAATCTTGTATTCCGCATGCAAAAGATGCGATAGAGTTGCACTACGAATACACTTTGTTCGTCTTTCACTTAACCGCTATTCAGAATGATGTTCGCGAATCCGAGGAGAAACACGCCTAACTGTACTGACTATGTAATTGTCTCAGTCCCACTGGAGCAGTCAAATTGGCAGATACACACGAATAGAAGAGGCGAAATTTAGCAGTTTATCTCTCAAACGCAAAAGAGGCATGGTTTCGAAGACACAGCATAAATCAGCAGCAATGAATGCTCTTCATACCACATTCTTTGGGTGGCATCATGTCGATATCTCACTGATGTTATTATCCCCGAGAAACCGAAGTTGTAAGAATATGTTGTATGTTGACATTAAATTGTTCACGGCTGTATGCGGCTGTGAAAGACCTACGAAATATAATGACGTCGTTTTATCCTACTAAGTATCTGTTTCTTGTTTTGTACAAAAACAAACTAGTGCAGAGAAATAGACGATAAATATACTTTCCATAATTAAATGCTACTTCATTTCAGTTTAAAACGTCGAACTACTACGACAAATGAGTTTTAAATACTCGCTTATCATGGATCAGTCGCCAGTCATCATAACTAACTCATAAGAGATTGATCAACCTATTACTTTCATACATTTTCACTTTACTATATCATAAACAAAGGGATATTTTTTCAACTGGATACTATCAGCCAGCATTTTGCATAAATGTTTTCATAAATAATTTCACAGACTTAAGCTGGAAGTAGACAGAAATGAAAGATTTTTTCAAAGATATTCATCTTCATTTAGGCTCTGGTAGTTTTAAAGTCAAATTTGTCTGCAATATAATAATAATAGCCGAAAATCGAGCGATTACATTTTTCAGTGAAAATCATTTAGTGTATACAATTAAATCGATAAGCTTGGCTTGAATCATATTGTGTTACCCGCTGATTAGCATAAAAGAGGGCTGAAATGCTCAGTTTCTGTTGACCTGCCAACTCCTAGTACAGATATCTGACGTTGTTTATTTGATAGTCACTGGCAGTGGAGCCCATGATATTGGGTTTGTTCTACTCGGATACACTTCAACCGGCGAGTATTTGTCTTCACACCCGAACTGCTGCACTCTAATGGATAAAATGATGTCATTATATTTCGTAGGTCTTTCACAGCCGCATACAGCCGTGAACAATTTAATGTCAACATACAACATATTCTTACAACTTCGGTTTCTCGGGGATAATAACATCAGTGAGATATCGACATGATGCCACCCAAAGAATGTGGTATGAAGAGCATTCATTGCTGCTGATTTATGCTGTGTCTTCGAAACCATGTCTCTTTTGCGTTTGAGAGATAAACTGCTAAATTTCGCCTCTTCTATTCGTGTATATCTGCCAATTTGACTGCTCCAGTGGGACTGAGACAATTACATAGTCAGTACAGTTAGGCGTGTTTCTCCTCGGATTCGCGAACATCATTCTGAATAGCGGTTAAGTGAAAGACGAACAAAGTGTATTCGTAGTGCAACTCTATCGCATCTTTTGCATGCGGAATACAAGATTGATGTCAACGAGGTGGCTTTCAAAGTCATTCACCGCATACGAGTAAATCTTAACTTTACCTTAAGAGTTCGTTTACTAAATAATACCAAGGCTGTTAGGATCAACATTAAGAAGTCTAATTTATGTGTCCAAAGGTAATTATTTCAGACATTATCCTTACCCTGTTGGCTATCCATGTTCGAATGATCCTCAGTTTATTGTAGAAATTTCCTTAATTTTAGTTGATATTCTATTTGCTATAATATTTTTATTATTACTTTTATTATTATTGTAATTTAAGCATCTTTAGTGAACTGGAATTTCATTGATCTTACTTTACGAATCGATATTATTTAAAAAAACACGCCAATATTGTTATTGACTACTAATCTAGAATATTCTATGTATATAAACATGCATTTATAATTGTAGAGCCAGAAGAGAAGGAAATTATCGAAAAGGATATTCTAGGCTCAATTGTTTTTGTTTTTTCTAAATATTTGAGTAAATATTTTGTCTATATATTCAAATACTGTAATTATTGATCACTAGGCTGATGGATATTATTATTGCGTGATTAAGCAGTATAATGGGAAGCGAATGAACATCGTTGTTTAACTCGTTAGTGTGTATGTATAGAAATGATAAAGAAATATTCTAGAATAGCGAACGAATGTTTCGAATGGAAAAAGAGGCTTGAAATCAATCATACACACTTATGTGAAGGTCAAGTAATTTAGTTCGTTGTACAGAGGTGAAAATTGGGTCTCATCAAAGACATAGATACATAGAGAATTAAGGCTAGGAAATTACATTACAATTAAACAGAGTATAGTAGTATATTTAGGAATGTAAGGCAAGGCTATTAACGGTTGCCATTTGGATGCATAAATTTGATTTTAGTCGTTCAATCGCAATCTCTCAAGTGATATTCAGCAACCTTGAGCCATCTTGAATTTTAATCACCTTAAGGAATTTTAATAAATGAACTTCATTAGTTGTCTAACAGATGACAAGCAATAAGACTATTAAGGAGTTCTCTACCTTTCAGAGACGCAAATTTCCTAGAATGTTCTCGGATTGTTGTTATTGGTTCCTTGGGTTCCTAGTGAAACATAGAGCTTCAACTGCACGTCTCCACTTGCCACTTCTGTCTTCCTTCTGCTCTACTTTTCACCTGCATCCATGTTACTTCAAACTCTCTCTTTCAACTCCTCGTCACACGATCTCCTCCATGTCGCCATTTCACTGACGTCCCACTCGCCGCTTCCCTTTTGGCCCGGTTTTACTCGAGGGCCTGACGCACGATGTCACCAACCGGCCTCCTCAACGAGTGTCCAATCCATCTCCACTTTCTCCTGCATATTTGTTGGTTGGCGATTGGTTCTTGTTCTGTCTCTTCCCATAGTTTCTTGTTGGTGATTCTCAGATATGTGGTTACAAATCCCTCTATCTGTTCATCCAATATATGTGCTTTGGTACGTGCATGTAAATTGGTATATGGGATCGGTGTAACATGAAAGGGGAGAGGGGGGGCTTATCAACCTTAGATTGTGTCAGGGAGCATTTTATTTGATAAATTGTGACAAGCCGGACATCTGGATCATTTCGATTCAGACCATCATTTATTCTGTGTTTAATTCTTTACAGATGTGTTACAACTTTGAATTCAGCACTGGATTCAAGACTGGTTTCTTTTTTGTTGTATCCTCTTTTGTTTGTCAGTGATTTTTTGAGAACATCCATTGTCTCGTAAACTTTTTTCAATAATACCGAGCTCATGGCCAAGGTTTTCTTTGAAACAGAGTTATTCAGTGCAGTGAAATAATGTCCTCTAGACTATTGAAATTCACACACAGTTCACCATTCCAAAATTCTGTACAATGAATGCAGCTTTATATACTTTCATCCATAGTTTGTAGAAGTTTTAGATCCAGAAAATGAAAGTTTGCATTCTGTTCATGTTCCATAGTGGAACCTACATTTGTATGTGCCTTACTACATAGATCCATTATATAGGAAACAAATTTGACTAATTATTAATATTATTATTATTACTACTAATTGTTTCCGTACGAGCTTAACAATGGCCCCTATTCCTTCCTATTATGCTACTTAATCACACAATATTAATATCCATGATCTTTACAATCAATAATTAAAGCATTTGAATATATATTTTTTCAGATTGATACTTAAATTATTCATGGTTGTATGCAGTTGAAAAGAACCAACAAAGTGTAATGACGTCACTTTATCCTACCTAAAGTATCTTCCTGTTGGTTACAGAATTTGATCATGAGTTGATATTAGTTAGAGAACCATTATAAAACCTGATTGTATTGGTTAGCTGCTTCTTCCTAGCCTTGGATTCTTCAGTAGTACACACCCACTGATAGCGTTCGAACCCAGGACCTTCTGATTACAAAGCCAGCAAGCTCGAAGTCCATTAAGCCACTGGGTCCTGATCCATTAATTCCAACTTCTACCGATTCATGACATATTGCGACCACTAACTAATGTATTCTTCCTGTTGGTTTGTCGAACTGCATCAAGAGAATTAATTTTATAAGTGAGGTTTTGTCAATGAAAACTCTTGACTTGCCTAATATGCGTTTGGATTTAAATAAGGTGGATGAATTCATTTGAAATTTGAAGAGAGAAGAAGGAGAATTCCCTGAAAGACAGATCTTTAGTTCACTTACTTTCTGTTTAGAAATCATAAAAGAAATACTTTGGTCTTCTAGGTCCGAATCCTGGCGGGTGCCTACTGATGAAGAGTCCCAAACTAGAACGAAACAGCTGTCCAGTAGTCCCAGGTTTTCTAATGGTTCTCTAACTAATGTCAGCTCATGATGAAATCCTATAACCAATCAAATCCCTACAAACCAACACTTAAATATATATGTATTCCGCCAATGTATTTCCCTACTGGTCGACTACATGGTATAAGTTTGAATTTAAAAGAAGCAGTAAAAGTTGATAATTAAAACAATTAGTCTCTTTAATAAATTTGAATAAGGCATGTGGAAGACAAATTTCACGAGATGATATCGTCATTTCGTAGTTTCTTTACAACCGCTTTACAGCTAACATGGTTAACAGTAATGAAATAAAATGCATGACAATTACTCAGTTAAACCAAAAGTACATACACTAATGACCAATCATATTTAGATAGGTCATGTAGTCCAGGGTAGGCGAAAATTTAAGTCTATTGTGCTTTGTACACATAGTTTAGGATGTATGTGATTAATCTTCAAAGCGCTTTCATCACCTTCAATAACCAACCTTGGATTAGCGTTATGTGAAATAATTGTAAAACAGTCATCAATATTGATTTTGTGACCTGACATTAATAAGTGCTTTTCAATGGATAATGATGCTGGATTTCTATTCAGATTAATTGCATTGGGATTTTCTATGTGTCTTTAATAACCATTTTAGAAGATGTTCTTTTCGACGACATTGCAACACTCTACTTGTTCTACCTATATAGGTGTCACCGCAACAACTGCAGGTGAACTTGTAGATACAGTTTGAAGTAGAGTCCACATAATTTCGTCCTTTAATCGTAGGTACAGTGATCGGAAATGTTCGACAAGTGAGAAAAAGAGATGTGGCGGCGAAGAATGTGCGTTTGATGGCTGACCGAAGTCTTTGAGTTAGCTGTCAACTGCATAATCTGGTCACCCTTGAATAGTAGGTTAATGAAGAAAGCTTTCTTTGGTACAGAAGCTGTCTTTTCGAGATGTGGCCTTTCTTTACTATGACAAGTGATAAAGTTTTCTGGATGACCTATGTATTTGCTTCCACAAACAAACTCATATTGATATACACACATTCAAATGTAAAGGATTGACGACTGGTCTTTCCCAGATTGCAGAAGCACCTGCGTAGTGGTGTTAAGAAAGATGGGTTTTGAAGCATAATAAGTTCTCTTGATAGCATTATCGAGTCCTCGTTTGACTACTTCTTGTACATCATCTACTTTGAACGGCAAACTAATATATATATATATATATATATATATATATATATATATATATGTATAAATTTCCTAGGAACTGTTTGAATCGTTTTACTGGGGCTCATTCCTTAAGAGTATTTATTGTTAGACTCAGGATATCCATCCTTAGATGAAATCCCCTTCAGAGATTTTATTTCATGTCGAGTTGTACTTTCAGAACAAACTTTTCGTACCCTATTGAGCAGTGTTCTGACTAAATTCTATTTATATTGGATTGGAAGATCATTTGAAAGATGCGAGAATATTCACATTTTCTGACGAAACAGTATAAGCGAGTGGTTGAACGTCTAAACCAGTGATATGAAACTACTCTACAGATTGGTTATTACTATCGCATATTACCCACTTTTATGAAAAACCAAATTGTTTCATACTTTTTTTTAATATACTAAACATTTTCTCATCTTACATTTTCAGCACTATCCAGTATGATGTTGTGACGATATCAGTGAATAAAATTGAATATGTTCACTTACATCAAGGTAAGTAGCTTAGAAATAGGCGGTGAGTGTATTTCTTGTAAATACAAACATATATATATATATATATATATTTATGTCTTTTGGTATTATTGTGTCTAGTCCTCTACGCTAGGTGGTTTTTTAATCCACTGCTCTTCTAGAAAACATCTTTACTTCTGATTTTGACTCTGTACCTAGATGTCTTTTGCTAAATAAGCTCTCTATGACACAGACTAAGTCCTGGGTCACAAATTGGTTGCATTCTTACTTCTCTAACAGAATGCAGTATACCGTATAGAAAGGCGAATCCTCCTCTGCTGTGCTCACTGAAGCTGGTGTCCCTCAAGGTGCTGTACTCTTCCCACTTCTCTTTTCTTTCTTTCTACCTGACCTACCGTCTTCAAATGACATTAATTTTGTCAAATATGCTGATGACCTAACTGTATCTTTGCCTGTCAAATTTCAAAGTGACTGCACTAAACTAAACGGCTTTTTATCAGAAATCAGCCAGTGGTCCAATGAAAACTGTCTTACCTTAAATCCCTCTAAATGTTAAACAGTCAATTTCACCTTTAGGCATTAATCTGACCTAAACAAACTGGTTAGCACTCACGAGGTCTCCAACATAGATGGCATTGAAATAGAGAGTAAGTCGGAAATTAAATATCTTTACGTCATTCTATCTGCTGATCTTTCCTGGTCGTCTCATATCTTGATGACTTATAAGAAAATATTCCATCTTACCTTCTACATCAAGAAGTTAAGACATTCTGGTATAACCCAACCCTTACTCCTACAATTCGTTAACTCTTGAATCCTGCCTATTATTCTCTATTGTTCCCCCTTAGTTTTTTCAGGGCTACTGAAGAAATACTATACCTTATTACGCAGGATGTTAAAGGTTGTCAACAGAGTAAGCAAACTGCCACTTAACCAGCTTGTTAATATTCTGGTTGACAGGCACATGGACTCATGTCAAAAATGGGCTAAATCCACTTTATCTAACTCACATCACCATCTTCATTCACAACTCTCCCCTTGTATCGCATCAGACAGAACCAGAAGCCTATATAGAAAACTATACGCTCGCACTAGCAAGTATAAAAACTCAACCATAACCTACTTAGCTCGTGTTCTGTGCGATAAAGAAATCATTAAGCGTGATACCTGTAACTTAATTAATAGTCAGTAGAACAATTGGATCTCGTCTTTCCAACTCATATCATTTATAGGTACAACGTTTTCTTCCCTTCTTTTCTTTTTCTCTCTTTGTTTTCTGTTATGTGCTGTTTTGTTTCCTTCTTCCTTACGAACTCTACTTAAAACAATCTTCTTCGTTCTTTGACACTCTGTATATCTCGACCATTTTGCAACCGCTTACACCAGTAAATATGCTACCATCTACTTTTCTAACACCTTCAAACACTCTGTTCAATTTTGGCTTTGCTACCGACATGCCAATATGTTGTTTGTCAAAACGAACTGAGATTACCCTTAATTTATGTAGAATTTTATTTATTGTTAATGTATAAACTGGATGCAATACAGTAGTGAAATGCTGAGAATTCCATTCTGTATCATAAGTACTGTTTTGGAATAAAGCAAATTATTATTATTGTTATTGTTATTATTATTTCTGCCATGAACCTGGATTTATCAGCTTTGTTTTTTGTTGCCAATCTTTCGATTCAGTTATTATTATTATTATTAGTAGTATTTTCTCATTTTATATTCTGTCAATTATCTGTTATCAAAAATAACCTTGAAGGCACCAAGGTCATGGCGTCCCACTTTTTTGCAAAAATTGTCTCAATGTTTATATCAGTTTTTAGTCATGCAACTTTGCAGTGCCGAAAAGCTTGAGTATCATATGAATTTATTATAGCAATTACTGTTTTTTCAACATTACTCTCATCCATATGCTAATTTGTTTTCTGAGGGTTGAAAATGAAACTACCGGTTGTTTTACTACATGACGAAATTATCCGTAACTTATGAAGGTCATTGGTGGAGTAAGACGCTTAAAGGTTTTGGAATAAAGCAAATTATTATTATTCTTTGTTAACGTCAAGAAGAAATGAAGTTTTCTAGTTATGAATGAGTAAAAATCGTTATTTATGATCACCTTGATTTTGAGAGATTTCTTTTTTTTTTCGTATTCCCCTGAATTAACATTTCTTCCCTCATTGACTTCATATTTGACCTTTTGATCTTGTGACTTATTCTCTATCGGTTGTCAAATTCGATTTATGTACACATGTTTTTCTTTATTGATTGGAGAACAGAGAATCGACTCCTATAGTTATCCATATCTACTGATTGGTATGAGCGAATGGACCTCGCGTCACTCTAGTGCTAGTTTGTGTTGTTGGATGAGAAGACAAAAAGCAGAACTTCCACCTTTTCCAATCTAATGTTGTTCACAGTTGTTTTAATCTATTGTAAGGGTTTTAAGTTAATTTTTGGAACAACAGAAGGGGAAAATGTGTGCAAATGTGGTGGCGTATTTGCCGTTTATGTCTCACACATTCTGAGCGAACAACATCTTAAAATGCTAATTGGTTATGAAGGAAAACACCCAATGCCAGGAATCCTTTTAACTCTACCTTAGAGTGGTTGATGGTATCCCATACTGCAATGTCCTCCTCTCAACTTTCTCACAAGTTGATTCTCAAGTAGGACATTGGAGGCCTGTGTCAGCACATCATGATAACCTTTGCAAAAAAGTCTCACAAATACAGCACACCTTGTAGGTTGTTGCATCCAACGCCTGAACTCCTCCCACTGAATCATGGCTGGTACCCTGACATTTCCGTGTGTGAGCAACAAGAGGTCCCGCCAACAACCTTAGGCCTGCTGATCTCGTTGGATAATTTAACAGACCATCACAAAACTTACTGGCCGCAGCCTGTTCGCTTGCAGTTGCCTGGAGTTTCAACGAGGCGTCCGACCATCCTAAGAGTCGCTTTTGACAAATATATGTGATATGAGCGAATGTATGTCGCGTCATCTAAATGCGAAGATGAAAAGGACATCCACTCTTGCCAATGCAATGTTCTTCAAAGTTGTTGAAATCTACTTTAACTGACACGCGTCACCTTGGTTGGTCTGCAGTTATTGTAGGACTGATGTTTTCACCGAAATTTAGACTTGCATCATCCAAAGCGACAGTCATAGACATTATGCGTGGGCTATTCGGATCGACTTACCTTAGTCATCATATATATATATACATTTTATTCCTTTACATACCCAGTGGTACATAGGACTTCAAGCGAGAGAGGCTTGAAGTTTCAGTAATAGTGGTGTTTATTTCTACGCTATGGAGTGCTAGCCTCATGCCCGACCTTCCCTCTTTACTAGTCTTATTACTGTCTTAGCGAGGTTAAGCAGTGCGTCATTGGCTAGGGGTCGGACCCCGGACCACATGCGTCGTTGGCAACCATAAATAACCACATCATGTTAAACATGGAGAGGTTTAGCAAACATTCTTTTCTCTTGTGGTACAGTGTTTTCTATAAACCAACCTTATTATATAATCAAGTCTTCATTGTAGCTCGTATAAAACAGAATTCATAAAAGAATAATTAATTCACGTTCAGGTTACTCTCCAACTTCTTTTACTTCACTACTCCTAGGTGTATCGCATGAATACCGGATTATCTTCATTGGACTAGACGGCATTGCCTATCCACCGGTTGGATTACAAGGGGGATTAAAGGCTGTTTATGATTTTCTTCTATGCTTAGATAATGGTTTAAAGCCGAATGCATGCTTGAATCCATCACCGAATGATTTAGACGGTAAGTTACTTTTTAAAGTAACGAGATTTTGTCTTGTTATAGTCACCTTATCATGTCATAACAAAACATTTCTTTAGATTTCAAAATTCTAACTTAATCGTCCATAAGAAATCACAGTAGTTCAGTGTTACCCTGACATAGTAAGTTGTAAAGTTATCGTTTAACTGTTTGACACTCACCTGGTCATATCAAACAACAAAAAGTGGTAGCCAGTTTAACTGTTCAAAGCTAATCGGACTGATGGTGAAACGGGATATATACATTAGGACGACTAAAATATAGCGACCCGGGTTAACGATCAAAAAGATCGCTTTAAACAATCAGTCAGCGAAGTTTTATTATACAAATATCACTCTCATCCTGTAATTCAACACAGCTTGAATAATAGGCTTTTAGGAGGGAACGGATCATCCAACGAAAGCCAGAATAGCTGTCTACACGGACGAGTTACATATGGTTATAGTCATTAGGCTGTATTCAAGACACTAAAAAATCATTTGTTTGATTTTATTGATCCACTGGGATGACATGCACACCAGTTACTTATAAAGATTCTGCGGGTTATTAAGAAGGCAGTTGCAGCGAAGAAAATTTTCTTTTCGACGAAGTCATCGTTAACTAGGCTGTACATTCGTGTATTTATATCAAATGGATGGAAAAGTTCCAGAATAATTTCCGGTGAAGCGTCAAATTAATAAAAATTACAATTAGGAATTAAAATGCCATAATAAATAAACAGGGGGACGGATAAAACTCAAACAAAGTGGCATCATAAGAACTAAGAAGACTGACATTGTGCAACTGGGGGTTAGAAATGTAGAAATAACAAAATAGACAGGATGTTTGGATAAAAAAACTAATGTTATGTACCATGCGCCGACTTGAAAACCGCCCTGGTGAACACTATCTAGCCTGGCTAGTAAAAGCAGACCAAAAACGTGTATACAATTCAGTGACAGAACATCTAGTCAATTCAGGATATTTCGAAAAATCCTTCAAAGTAATATACAGGATTCAATCAGACCTATCAAAGGGGGTGAAATTTAGACATCTGGGCATAGCCGAGGCACTAGCCATCCAAAAGCTCAAACCCAAGCTTTGTATCTAAAAGAAATACGTCCAAACCCTGTCCCTACCATGGCGATCATAAACAGATAATTGTTTAGTAATGACCATCCCATTGCTTTTCTTATCTAAACTTCCTGTTTTTTCATGTTATTTTCTAGTTTTTCTTAATCCCTGTTTACACTACCATATTTTCATGTCCGAACTTTCTGTTTATTTTGTTATTTTACTATTTCTACACATTTATTCTCTGATTGCATAAACAACTAATCATCACATTAGTTTTTATCCAAACATCCTGTCTATTTTGTTATTTCTACATTTCTAAACCCCAGTTGCACAATGTCAATCTTCTTAGTAATTATGATGCTACTTTGTTTGAGTTTTATCCGTCCCCCTGTTTATTTATTATGGCATTTTAATTCCTAATTGTAATTTTTATTAATTTGACGCTTCACCGGAGATTATTCTAGAACTTTCCCATCCATTTGATATAAATACACGAACGTACAGCCTAGTTAACGATGACTTCGTCGAAAAGAAAATTTTCTTCGCTGCAATTGTCTTTTTAATAACTCCTATGAACCAATGTGTGTATTCCGTGATTCTATGGGTATTTAATATGAACGACAAATTGGTCACAAAATGATATACGGTATACAGTCTGTTCGATATATAGGTGCACAGAAATCGGTTTGAGCTGATACTTAGAACTCCACTGACAAAATTTCAGACATTTCTCGGGCAAATAAGTGATTGTCATTCGGTATAATTATATCATATTACGTAATTTGTTTTCCGTAAAAATTTTCCACTCAAATAGCGCCTCTGACTAGTCATTCAACTGGGTTGCTGCACTTCAGTATAGTCCAAGAGCAATAACCTGCAGGTATTTTCTGGGAAAATGGTACCTACTGAACTGTGACTGAGAAATTCATGATTATGTCACCAGTTGCTGAATAATGAATGCCATATAGCTTAGTGAGTGAATATTAGACGAAAGTGCTTACAAATACTTGGTCAAATACAACGTATGGAAACAGGCAGGTGAATGATGGATAGAACTAAGTCATATGTAAAAAAGAAACTATTTAGCATTACAGATTAATTAATGGATTACGTCAAAAAAATATTCTTAATAGTACTTGAATGCCTTCAGTGTGTTTGTTATACTTATGCTTTGAAAGTCTTTGAACTCATTGGTTTACACATCACGATAAAGCATTTCTAACAGGCTTCAGACATTGATTGACAGCTGCTTCTGTTGCCTGTGTATTGAAGATCAGATGGTCAGCAACATTAAGAAACAAGAAACTCTCGGAACGAACCAGTAAGAATCTGCTGCTCAACAAATATATAGAATAAAATGCAGATAGATCGGTCACACACCGAAGAGACAGTTTTGTGATGACGCACACTAGATTGTCGAGTAGAACCCGAATAGGAAACGACGAATTGGACGTACGAGGGTGATATGGAGGAGATGGAAGCTTATGGGCAGTCGTGGAGCCAGATGAAGAGGACTGCAGAAGGCAGGATGAAATAGAAGTGTGTTGTTAAAGTTCTATGTTGCGCCAAAGGAATAATATTAAATACGAAATGTAGTCTGAACATTCGCTACTAGTTCACAAATTGTTTCGGCAATCACAGAAAACCAATAAATACTAGTGTCCGGTGACTAAAAGTAACTTCCTGAAAGGTGAAATTTAGCTACTGATACCATCCTTAGGAAAAATGTTGTCAGTTACTGTATATTTCAAACAATTTATGAAAAATTAAAGTTTCTGTCATACTGATACAGTTAAAGTGACTTGGTGTGACATTCTTGAGTTGAATATTGACTGACTGGTTCTCTGGCAATCTGTGAAATCAGTCTGTAACGAACAAAACCGACTTGTTTTGGTCTAAACGCAAGAAACCGGTATGTGATTCCTACTGTATTATTATTTCATTTAATTCCCAGAAGAACATACGGCTTCAGCCGCGCGTGTCCATTGCGTTCGGTTATCTGCTAGAGTTTCCACCTGGTTCCAAGTCTCCCCACACGCTTTCATCTCATCTTCACATCACATCCCCCTCCATGTCACCCTTGGACGACCAACTCGCCGCTTCCCACTCGGGTTCCACTCGAGTGATGGTCTGATATTTGATGTCACTTGATGGTTTCCTCAGAGTATGGCCAATCCATCTCCGTTTCTTCCTGTCTATTTGTTGAACAATCGGTTTCTGGTTGGTTCGCTCCCATGGATCCCTGTTGCTGATCATTCCTGGTCGGCCATCTGATCTTGAGTATTGAGCGAAGACAGCTGTTGATGGAGGTCTGTAGTTTGTTTGAAGTGCTCTTCGTGACGCCCTGGCCAAGTCTCTGATCCATCCGTATAGTGAGTAGCACTGACTGACTTAACATTGGAGTTTAAAATCCGGATATCATTTTCCATGCTGAGTGCTGCTGACCTCCACACAGATTTAGGAGTGATGAAAGCTTGTCTTGCTTTTCCGATTCTGGCTTTGATATCCTCGTCAGTTCCGCCTGTAGTTGAAACGATGCTTCCCAGATAGGTAGGTGGTAAAGGAGGTTGTTTCTTTCAGATTTCTCCCATTTATACTGGCTGATTGATGTCTGTTATTGTTGTCAGCGTTGGCCAGGAATCTTCATCACCTCTGTTTTCCCTATGTTCACTATGTCAATCTTCTCCGGATGCTTCTTCTGCCAACTTGTTCCTTTTCACTTGAATATCTTCCAGTTTGTGAGAAATCAGACATACATCATCGGCGAAGTCTAGATCCTCAAAGTTTTTCTTGAAGGTCCATTTTATGCCTGTTTCCTCGCTGCCCGCTGTCTGTCCTACTGTATAGCAGACCAAAACTTCTTTGTGACATGAACAATTACAAAATGCTTCAAAGCCAGAAAAAAGGTGGTTATTCTTCGTAGGATCTATTATGGTTATATTCGATAATAATAACATCAAATTTTCAAAACTGCTTCAACAGTGCCACTAGGCATATGTACAGTCAAAAGAAGTTTTAGGTACAAACAACAAGTACTACTGACCAGAATTCAATCGTAGGGGAAGCTTTAGAATCAATTAGAATATCCCCAAATAAGTAGGATTAAAACGCTGTCCATAAAAGTCACACATCAAACAGTTTCCGTAGACAGTCCAACGTCTGGATGATGTTCATTCAATCCAATAAAATCACATCATAAAACAACACATTATCAGTGTATTTTGACTAAACACTAGTAACACTAGTGTGATGTGTTTAGTCCTTTCTTTGGTGTCAACTGAATTCTACCAGTCAGGTTTGTAATGTGGCCAACATTCTAGATAGCTTGCTATCACGGTGCACATTGATTTGATAGTATATTAGATAGTTGGAGGCAATCGGCCACACGAAGCCTTGTTCGACCTGGGTTTCACGCTAGTTGGCACTCATCAGTTAACAAGGCGTATCTGCAACCGCTTTGAAGGAACTCATGTCTTTTCTGAAATTCGAAACCGCGTCACCCAGTGTTGCAGTCAGAGGTGCTACCACTGAGCTAGCTATTCGGTTTCGCGATTATTCTCCTGTAGGACTGCACCAAACAAAAGACTAAACACATTACTGTAGTTACTAACTAATGTTCCATCAAAAGTATCTAATACAGAGTCCCATAGTAGGTCAATCGAGAGACTGAACAGCTAGCTCAGTGGTAAAACCTCTGAATGCAGCACTGGGTGACGCCGGTTCGAACCTCAGAAGGGACATGAGTTCCTTCAAGGTAGTTGCAGATACGCCTTGCTGACTGACTGGTGAGTGCCAACTAGCACGAAACCTAAGTCGAAGGCTTCGTGTGGCCGATTGCCTTCAACCATCTAACATTATCAGTGTATCTCACAACCACAAAGAGAAGCGCTAAAATTAGACACAAAACAGTGACAAAGACGTATAATAAGGATTAAGTCAGCCTATGATATACAAATGTCAGACGAATGAAATAGATTGTAGAAGGAAAACGGAGAGGAATTACAAAGTTAGCTGAAAAAAAATCCAAATAAAAACAGATGTTGAACATAGATCGTTCCAGTGAAATTTTTACTAAGCAGTTATTCCATAACACAGTCTAACTGTTAATCTTCATAGGAATTTATATATGTCCAAACCAAGTTCACTTTTAACGGTTTGAAAAAAATTTGGGCATTGAGTATATGACATTCATTATAATAAAGTTTTTTGTATTTCCCAATGAATGAATCAATGAAAAACAAAACGATATTGTTGCGGTTTTTACTGACGTTTCGCTATTTAATGCTGCTGCTAATACCTTTATCAAAGTAGCATTATTAAACCAGAATTTACAAAATCTCAGCAGATATATATAGCAAAGAGTTAAGAGGTGAGAAAATAGACATTACTGAAACTCTCAAACAAAACAACTTCCCAAGGAACTTCAACAACAAAATCAACACTGACTTTAAGTATGGTCGAAAACGTATTCTGAAAAAAGGTGGACCTCAACAGTTGTCATTCCACATAGAGCAAAGACGTCAGACGATATCAGAAGAGTACTCAATAAACTCGATATCAGAGTTTTCTTCAAAACATCAAACACACTGCGAAGCAACCTTGTCCTTTGAAAAGACCAAATCCCGAAAGATTCTCTATCTAATTGTATCTATAAAATAAAATGCTTGCATGGAATGTGATGCGATCTACATCGGACAAACATCGCCAGAGAGAAATCAAAATCAGAAGAAATGAACACCATAGAGCATCTGTCCGACCACCGAGATATCCATTTGAACTAGAAAAACTTGAAAAATCATCAGCCATAGGTCTACACGCCATAGAATTAGGTCACAAAATTGATTTTGACAATATTGAAATCATCATCCAGTAAAAGCATTTTAGAAATCACAAAGAACATCTAATATCAATCACAGGCACTTCATATCAAGTGGAATCCAAATTGTCTGAATACAAATGATGGACTAAAACAGAATCTGACCTAGTTATAATACCTCCCTCTCCCATGAAGAGACATAATCAACACGAATGTGATAGGTAAGTTCACTATGTAAACACACACTACCTTTACAATTTTACACACTGATAAAATCCAACAATCTACACTTGATTTTGCTATCTTTACCAATTGACCAACTTGACAACAAAGACGAACCCGGACAGACGAACGATGATCAAGTTAGTAAATTTTATTTTGATATCAACAGACGTACTATTACTTTTGTTATTTAGGCCTTTTGTTACGTATACCAAGCCATCGCCTCCCTCGACGAGCAATGTTAGCAGATATAGGGTCAGGCTGGAAAAAAGCTAGCGGCGGTCAAACAAAAACTTGGCACCAGTCGATGAAATCCACAACAGTTGGTCTAAGCCACGTAGGAAGGTGTAGACTTCCAGGCTGGGGTCCTCGGGACGATAAAAATCTATGGTTGGAAACAATTGGTGACATGGCTCAAAATCGTTCTCAGTGGCGCAGATGCATCCACTTCTTGTGACTTATGATCTCCAATGAAACTGTTTTGTTCTTTGTTCTCTTCCTTTGTCTCACACCTCTGTTTACTGTTTCTATTATGCTTTTCTTGTACTTTCTTCTCTTGCTTGCTTTGCGTGCTACACGGAATGTGGCGACTTGAACTTCCGCACATTTGTGCAAAGTTCTATGTCGAAAACAGACAGACAGACAGACTTTTGTTATTTGGTTTAGTGATCTTCATCAATATTCTGACTTTCTATACGTCCCTTTTAACTTGATTTAACTTGTCTATTTTCCAACCCCCGGACTCTTTGTTATACATAGATGCTGAGTGGAATTTGTAAATTCCGGTTTAATAATACCACTTTGATGAAGCTATTAGCAGTCGCATTAAATAGCGAAACGTCAGTAAAAACCGCAACAATATCGTTTTGTTTTTCATTGATTCATTCATTGGGAAATACAAGAGAACCTATATTATAGGAATTTTTTTAAAAATTATTAAACAATGAAAACTATTCATTCATATTCAGTTCTTCTTCTTTATCAAATTAGTCATCAAAACGGATGATATGAAATGTATGAAGTCAAATGACAAGCAATTGACAACCTCTATACTACGGAGTCTTATTGATTTTCGTAGTAAATTGAACGAATCCAACAGTAATAGTAACAACAACAATAGCAACAACAGTAATAATGATGGTGATGCTGGTAGTCAGAGTTTAAAAATAGCGAATGAAACTGATGCAAATAAGGAGGAGACTAAATCGTCAAATTTAAAGTCATCGTCTTTGTCGCATTCAAAAGACGTTGAATTTATTTTTAAAATATTTCGTTCAGAGGTAAGTCTTTCTTGAGTTATTTTTTTTGTAAAATTCTTGAAGAATTGAAACATTTTGTTTGGTTTTACTGAGATTAATATCAAGATGTACAATGGCGCAGAATTTGAAATTCTCTATAATCTATAAAGTGTATGCCATAAGTGCACTTTAAGAAAGCTTTATCATGGATCGAAATAGTGAACTTGGTTCATTTTGATGAAATTTCATTTATAAGTATAGTAGATTTGGTTTTGTTTCAAGTGTGCCCACGGACTGATATCATTTAGAGAACCATTGAAAACTAGGGAGTACTGGACAGTACCCGGAGGGTGCGTACTGCTGGTTGGCCTCAAGTTGAGGATTAAACAGCTGGCTGTTCAGTACTTCCAGCCAATTTTCAGTGGTTCAATCCGTGACCAGACTTGAAATAAGTCGAGTGCCTAGAAACAAACTTATGAAAATTAATCTGACGCTCACTGGTAACTAGCCGCAGGGCGACGTTGATTGGAGCTTTTATAAGAATTCATTACCAGTAAGCTCCGTCAGGTCGGAATGGGGAGAAATACTCTCCAGTGATGATATTGGTTAGTGGTCACGCTAAAATTACGAATCAGTAGAAGTTAGAATTCATGGGTTGCCAACTGAGTCGGGTGCCAGTGACTGAATAGTAAACGAACTTGCCTTGTAAGTGGATGTTCCTGGGTTCGACATCCAGTGGATGCGTATTACCAGTGAGTACCAGACTAGGACAAAACAACTGTTCTACAAACAAGCTACTCAATATTTCATTTGTGTCGATAAGCCAACAAATGTGAACTGTTAAGACGTCCATCCAGTTATATTGTATAAATAGATAACAATTTAACGTTGTCACACCAGAACGAACAAAACAAGAACCAATCGTCCAACAAATATGCAGGTGAAAGTGGAGATGGATCGGTCACTCTGTAAGGAGACCGCTAGGTGACATCGCGCGCGCATCAGGCCATTGCTCGAGTGGAACCCGAAAGGGAAACGGCGAGTGGGAGGTCAGTGCAACGGTGACATGGAGGAGATCGTGTGAAGAGGAGTTGAAACAGTATGGACTAACATGGATGTGTGCAGGTGAAAAGTACAGCAGAAGGAAGACAGAAGTGGCAAGTGGAGACGTGGAGTTGAAGCGCTCTGTTCCACTAGGAACCCAAGGGAACAATAATAATAATACACCAGAAATCTAACTAGATCTTGTCATCTCAACACATGACCGATTATGTCAAGTTTATCTAACCTTACTAAGAAGTAGGTGCAATAAAACATTACGTGAAGAATATATGATTCATATGTAAAGAAAATCGAATAGATAGGCTTATGAATATCTCGAGATTCGAAGTTTTTACTAATAATTCAATAGTACGATATTTCCTTTAAAAATACAGGTAAATGAATGTGGCACCATTCTTTGTTCAGTTCATTTAATGCATCAGTATCCAATATCGTTTTTATGAGCTAGTATAAACCAATTTGATTTCTTTGTGCTCGCTTCTTGATTGTGAGGTATAGGTTCCTGATCTTCGGTAGACTTCGGCGTAGCTTGCCCCCCCTCGACTGTCGTAGCTTTTGTTGACTCTAAAAGGAGTAGTGCTGGGACTAATCATATATGGTTTGCAGTATGAGGTCTGTTAAGACTGTTACTACTGTGAATAGAGTTGATCCTTTCACCAGTTAGTCCTCCGGTATCGTCGTCAAAAGAATAGAGATAATAATAATAATAGATATAATTAGTAAAGTTATTCAGACTAACAGACAGGAAAAGAAATAAGAAAACGTAACAACAGTCAGCTGATTAAATTTGAAGAATAATATGAATAATATAATGGTGATAATAATAATGAGTGTAGTTAAAGTTGTCAGGAAAGTAAGACGGGAGAGAATGTAAAAAAGTAAAACGTCGAACTTAGTTGTCTACCTCTGAACGATGTATGGGATTTTAAGGGGATAGGCCATTTGGACGCAGTCCTTGTGTTGCTGCATGATTGTCCAGCCTTCGCTTAAAGCTGTTCATAGACGGTGCCATAGCTACATCTGCCGGTAAGAAGTTCCAGGGACGGCAAACCCTCTGTGAAAAGAAATGGGAGCATATCCAAGTCCTTACCCTCTGGTGAGCTATCCTCCTGGAATTTCTATGAGGAAGCCTATGCCTACTCAAAGGCAGAACACCTTTGTTTGGGTGATTCTGGTCATTTGTTATTTTGTAGGCAGTAATCAAATCACCCCCTAAGCCGACGGTAGCTAAGTGTGAATAGGCCTAATTTATTTAGTCTTTCATCATACGGTTTATTTTGGAGACCAACCACTCGTTTTGTAGCCCGTTTTTGGACTCTTTCCAAGAGGTTGGCGTCTCTTCCAAGCGGTAGGGGTGTAATAATGTTATGCACTTCCAGGTGTGTACCACCTAAGAAAGAGTTCAGGAGTGAGTTCACCTAATAGTCTATGTGTAAAGTGCATTACCGCATGTGCCTTCACTACGTCCTCGTGTAATTTACGCTTGTATCCAGACCTAAGTCATCCCTTGATGTTGTCCACGACAAGCTTTCATTGCACAGGGTGTAACTTGCATTCTGTAGTCTACAGGTGCATAATTTCACTACTTTGCACTTTTTCAAGTTGAAAGTCATGCCACTGGACAATGTTCACTCTTCCAGAAGCTTCAGATCTTCCTGCAGCCTATTTGTGTCATCCGAACACTTTGTCGTCATCTATATCTTTACGTCGTCAGCGTATAGAAGAGTCAGACAGCTTAGACGGTATGGTAGATTATTGGTAAAAATCAAAAACATCAGTGGTCCGAAGATAGAACCCTGAGACACTCCTGATGACGAGCCGTGCCATAATGGTTGGACTCGATTGACCTTAGTGCAAAATTTCCTTTCAGCTAGGTAGTCCTTCAACCATGACAGAAGTGACTTACCTATACCTGCCTAACTTATTTTGTTTAGGAGAAGGTCATGGTGAACCGCATCAAATGCTTTCTTAAGGTCTAGGAAGACCACATGGACTGGAACACTCATATCCCAGCATGATGTCCAATAGTCCCGAGCTGATAGTAGGTTTGTTGCACAGAATCTACCTTTCTTAGATCTGTGTTGGGCTTCATGGAGTCTGTTAGTCCTAATGAGGTGCTCCTTGATGTGATCGTCAGTGATACTTTCCAGTACTTTTGATATGACTGGTCTATAACTAGTGGCATTTTGCCTATCCCCACCCTTGAAGATTGGAGAAACGATGACTGTTTTCCACCCCCTTGGCAGTTTCCCCGAATCCATCAAGTGTTGCTATTTTGCATAATTTACCTATTTAAACAAAGCGGATATGTTCATATTTCAATATTCAATGAGTGATTATTAACAGTGATGCATTAAAACATTCATCAAACAAGAAGAAGAGGTAATATTTCGAAAGACAATAAACTCTGACAAACAAGGATAATCAAGAAGATGACAAGCGTCTACTGACTGTCATCCACTAACGAATGCTAAAAAGTTGGAAAACTTTGCAGATGTTATATTGAGGAGCTAACTGAGTCGACTGGTTCTTTTTTTTATACTTTTAGATTGTCACTGATACATGTGATGATGTTTTTACAAAACAGAAAAATAAACATCTCCGTAGTAAATCACATACACGTGATGAATCAAAAGCAGTTGTTGATACAGTCATTGAAGAACAGTCGTCAACTTCGCTTCAAAATGAATCAGTTAACTCAATGGATATTGTTGACACAATAAAAGTACAATTAATGCTGAAAACGTTTAGATCTTGTAAGTCTCTGTGTTGTTTCTCCTTTGTTTGACAATGGAATAATAATTTTAATTTGATGAAACACACAATACAGTCAGTGTTTCCGAGAATTGGCACATGCGCTCGTACGTCAAGAAAAGCATTTCCAACAGGCTAATGTAGACTTGCATCAATGCCTTCCTTTTCTGGCTTCACGCTAAATCACCAAATAACTCTGACGATGAACTTTCCAAAAACCTTTGACCGAACAAATATGCGGGAGAAAATGGCGATGTATTGGACATCTCCTGAGAGACGGTTAAGTAATGTCACTCGCCTAGCCCTTGAGTTGAACGACGAGTTGGGCATGGCTTCGAGGGTGACAAGCATGAGGAGGAAGAGAAGGAAATCGAACATCAGCTAAAGAAAACCGCAAGGAAAAGAGGGAAATGGGAATGTGCTCTTAAAGTCATATATCTCACTCGGAAATCAAGGCAATAATAATAATGGCCCATGAATTCTAACTTCTGCCAATTCATGACATAGCCTGGCCACTAGCCAATGTCTTCGGTGAGTATTTGTCCTCACACCTGACCTGCTGCACGCTACTGGTCACGACTTCCTACTAGAACCCCAGGTAACTAACCACCTGAATAGGGCCAGTCGCTAGTGAGCATCTCATTAGTGTTCAAGTATTGGTTTGTAGGGATTTGGTTGATTGGCTACAGCACTTTATCATGAGCTGACATTGGTCAGGTAGATCCCTTGAAACTACTCATGAATCATTCATCTTATAAAACACAGTGGATGGATGAAAGAATATCTAATCCTAATAGAATTGTGGATAGCATACTACTTTACAAGCGGTTAGTTTAGTGACTTAAGATTTAAATCTCCCTTTATTTATCTTAGTTGTCATGGTAACGTCTTAAAAGAAGTTCTTTTTAAGGGATGTAAACAAATACTTGATTACAACATGTTGAAGATTATTATATCCTTTAGCTAAGGGAAACTGAGTGTTAAGTAGTACTCTATTATGATCCTGATTCAAAAGGTAATTAAGGCAGAAACTTATATAATGGTGAATCTATGTATGATGCAGAAATGAACCTTTAATTGTGTGCTCTTTTATTAATTCTATCTCACTTAAATTGGTCTACAGCCACGCTCAACTTACCAAGCATCCAACACCTCCCTGAGTGGGATATAAACACAGGTTTTCTGTCTGTAATTGAGGTTAAAATATCTCTCACTAATCTCAGACGAGACAAAGCAGCGTGGCCTGATGAAATGACTCCAGAGGTGTTTAAAGACGGCGGAGACAGTTTACTGTCTCAGTTAACTAAGGTATTAGGCAGCTTCTGAGAATCAGAGGTGGTCCCGTCGCACTGGTGTAAGTAATTGATTATAGCGATATACAAGAAGCGAGACAAGTCTTCTTGTGATAACTACAAAGGGATTAGCCTGACTGTGATCACTTAACACCGTGTTGATCACAACAACAGCAAGAATTAGAATACGACCGACATGCGAAGTTTTTTTAGATAGAGTGGGTAAAGTTAAACTAGCATGGCTATAAAACCACAGCGACCCTGAACAACTAATCAGTATTCAGATGCGAAAAAGTAGCATAATCCTTAAAAAATGCACTAATAAACATTAAAAACATGATGTTACATTGGGTAATTGTCTCTGTTGTTGTAAGAATGTATCCAAATTACTCCAGGGAGATAATCTATAGAGAAATCATACTATCTACGAGAGATATATTCATACAGGTAACTGAAGGTCATGGTACTTTGAGGTCAACTGATATTCATGTCACATCTTTAACCTACTCATTACCCTAACCCCCACCCTAAGGGTATAGATCTGCTGAAAAGAAAATACCCAAGGAATAAGTAGAATACTGTACCAACCCTCATGAAATCCAAAAAGGCAGGATGAATTTGATTTGAAACTACCTTTCGTGGTGTTCCCTAGATCTGATTGGTTACTGAAGGTCAACTCTTGACAAACTTTGACTTTAACTGAGGTATTTTAACTTTACTATGGGTCATTAACAACCGTTCTTTTATTTTTCTATAGTTTGGTTTGTAACGGTTAGTTATGTTTTGACGAGTTGATCAGTTGGAGAACCATTGAAAATCAGGGAGTACTGGACAGTTGCTATTTCATTCTAGTTTGGGAATCATCGGAAGTACGCACCCACTGGGGTTCGAACCCAGGACCTTCCGGTTACAAAGCGAGCTCGTATACCATTCAGCCATTGGGACCCGATTCAATGGCCAGTTCATGAATTCTAACTTCTACCGATTCATGATTTAGCGCGACCCCAACCATTGTCGTTGGTGGGACATCCATCCACACACGTGACATCTAATTGGACCTCACTGGTGACGACTTCTCACTAGAATTCAGGAAACTCCATCCTGTAGCAAGTCACTAGCGAGCATCAGATTAATTTTCTATAGTTTGGTTTGTAAGGGTGCGGACTGCTGATGATTCCCAAACTAGAATGAAACAGCAGCTGTCCAGTACTCCTTAGTGGGTTTCAATGGTTCTCTAACTGATATCAATCCCTGATCAACTCGTAAAAACATGACTAACCCTTACAAACCAAATTATAGAAAAATAATCTGATGCTCGCTAGTCACTTCCTACAGGATGGAGTTTCCTGGAGTCAGTTCTAGTGAGAAGTCGTGACCACTAAGGTTCAATTACATGTCACGTGTGTAGATGGATGTCCCACCAACGACACTGGTTGATATCGCACTAAATCACGAATTGGTAGAAGTTATAATTCATTCACGGGCCATTGAATCGGGTCCCAGTGGCTAAATGGTATACGAGATCTTTTATTATCTGGAACGTCACGGTCAACATTTAACACTTGACAGCTATGCTGAATGAATGTATTTATGTTTTAAATGTCCTTAACAAACACTAAATTCACTAGTGATTTTAAGGAATTAACAACCAATGAAAGTCTATATCTATCACACAGAGTGGGAAATTCAAAATTTGACCGTGAGTGTACGAAAATGGTAATATTTCACTGTTATTTAAGAGTTACGTAGTGTAGATCTGTTTCCCAAGAAATCCGGAGCTTAAAATCGAAATACAGTACTATATGATAAATAAATTGATGAAATATATAATTATAGAAACCTCGAATCGTGACGTGTCATTGTCCGAATGCCATCAAATGTACAGTTGCTGTGCGTAAATAAGAAAGACAGCAAAGCTGGTGTCGAAGGTGGTCTATGGTTAGACTAAACAGCGTGCGAATACTAGATAAAGAATTAAGCGATTTGATACTTTTGATTGAACACTCGTCAGTGACTAGTGTAGTATCTCTACTCCTTTGTTTGCTGTAGATCGAATTCTCTCAGTCAAGTTTGTAATGTGGCCATCAATCCACAAGGTATCTCGCCACCTCGTTGCACTGTGAATTGTTGATATTCGACGAAACTTTTTCTGTTCATTCAATAGAATAGTGAAACTTTCATTTGTTCTTGCAAAACTTCTTTCAGGGTTAGTTTACACAAGGCATATGAAGAATGTACGCAAATTATTATCTCCATTAGTTATTCATTCTGATATAATGTTATCCAACTCTCTCGAACAACAATATGAAGAATTAACTAGAGATAAATGGTGTGAATTATTTTTAAATATTCCAGATAAACAAGTAAGTATAAATAATTTAAAATTGAATGATTTTTGGTGATTATCGTTTTATTGATACTCTAATTTAACAAGATGAGATTTGACCGGTAATATGTCGCCAAATTTATGACATTCTACTAGTACTTGGATTCTGTATCGAAATGCAGTATTCAACTCGACTGAATGAAGACCTTACACGATCATTTTCTGTCTAACTTATCTTCTGCTAACCTGAGTTCATGCAAAAGCATGAAGATAAGACAGGTCTACGCTAGTGAGAACTTATTCGACAGAAAATACATCCTATATATATATATATATATATATATATATATATATAATAACAAGAAGTGGTATGACTGATTGTATAGTGTTCGCCATATTTTGGACTCTTCAGTAGTATGCACCCATGACCCCATCAGGAGTCGAACTCAGGTCCCTCCAGTTACAGGGCAAGTTCGTAGACTATTTAACCACTGAGACTGAATCCAATGGCCCTTCTAACTTCTAACTCCTTACAATTTGTTACATATAGCTGTACCGTCATCCAGTGCCATCAGTGAGTATTCGTCCTCACACCCAAATTGGTGGGACCCACCGGTCACGACTTCTAAACAGAACTTCAAGCAGCTTCATCCTGTGTTCTATCTCCATTGGGGTCATGGGTGTGTACTAATGAAGCGTCATGAGCAAGGACGAAACAGTAGTCCAGTCCTCCCTGGTTTTCAGTTGCTCTTTAACTGAAGTCATTTCGCGATCAATCCTAAAAATCAGTCAAATCCCTTCAAGTGAATATCTGAAAGCTATTCAAATTATACCAAACGATTTATGGCTTAGATAGTTGATTTTGGTTTATGTCGGTATAACCGGATTTTAGTTTTTTTTTAGGGGTATATGACACAAGGCTGATTATCTGAATTCATATTTCCTTTGTTTATTTGTTGCTTTTTCACTATGGAAGTTGTTGGTTTAATATTGAAACCATGGTAACAGTTAGTTCTATTTGATACCATGTGAATACACCTGTTGTGCAGCTCATCTTACCACTATTTCGAATCACGTAACACTGAGAGATTTATGTTCACTTGAACTCAAAAGTTGGTCTGTAAAATTAAATTCAGCCTGATTGAAGTCGCTCTCATCAACCAGTACGTGTTTGTCAGCCAGATGGAAGTGATATACAAACCAGACGGTGGGTTTGCTCATTGAAGGCCCGGCTTAATGACGATGTACTTAGTTCGACTTAAATCAGTTAAAAGCACAAATGTCTGTTTGGTGAAAATTGTGCGCCTAATTCACTTATAACTTAATCAATAAACTTTAATATTAATTTCAAATATATGACGAATGGTGTGAATCGTATTTCCATAGCTAGTGTTTTAGAGTGATGATGGTCATAATAACCGATTTGCAATGTCAACGAGATTCTGTTGAAATGGTAAGGCAGTGTGCAGCACGTTGATAAAATTCACTCCACTGTATTTAAATCAATTAGTACAAAAGGAAGAACCAATGTAGTAGGTTTTCTTGAATACTAGGCTTCGTCAGAAATAAGCCGTTATTACATTCAGAATCCCCAAGATTTTACAGAAGCCTAAGTTCTTATTCTTTATACCTCTCTCTAATTAAGATACATTCTTATGGAATAACAGAAATCCTCAAAAGTTCCATGGATTACTTAAATGAATGCAACTGTGTTGATCTTTTTAACTGACCAGTAACAGACACATATTAGTATTTGAAGAAAAAAAAAGGACCTTGGATACTTTAGAAAATATCTATTCAGTGAATCCCATATTTTAGTACATGCACTGACAAGCTTCTACAGCTGGATGCCAATCAGTCGAAAAGGAAACCTAATTGGATCTCTTTCTACTCAATTATGATGCATCTGCAGCTCTGATGCCCTGGAGGAAGAACTGCACTTCCTGAAAGAAACCTTCATACAAAATGGCTACCCATCAAGATTCGTAGAGAAAAACATCAAACAAAAAAAATCCAAAAGCAGGAGACACCATCCGTTCTCACAAAAAATACTTTATATGAACCTTGACCTCGAAGGTGACCTACTCAGTGATGTCCTTAGGAAGAGGATATCCACTTCTTTAAGAAGAACTTTCTTTGTGGCAACAGTGAGAGTAATGTTCTCCAGTCGCCTGCTGATCTGCGGAAGCCCAAAGGACAAGATCCCACACTTGATCACTTCTATGTGTATATATCAGTCCACCTGTTGCTGTGGAGCCAGCTACATCGGTCGTTCAACGCGCATCCTGTTAAAAATAGTCAAAGAACACTATCCAGCATGGTTGCAGGAAGGAAGTAGTGATTGTATAAGGAGTGCAATAATCGAACATCTCATCAACACTGATCATTCCATCTCAAAAAACGCCTCCTCCTTCAAAGTAATCTACAAAGTGAAGAACAACCTACCAAAGACAATACGTTTCCGTCTTCTTTGTATTGCAGAAGCCCTAGCCATTCCGTCAGAAGAACCAGAACTATGCATACAAAAGAAAATTATTCAACCACTTCTACTCTCATGGTAACAACTTCTTTGATTTGACTTAACTTTTGTTTGTATGCTTATTTATTCTAACTACTTGAAACCCTTGTGTAATTTAGTATGATATTTTGTTTCCCTGTACACCCTGAGCACAACTCTTTTATCATCAAACTATTCACGTTATTACGTAACTCTTCTTTAACAATCATTTGTGACAACTCATCGCTTTTGTTACTACCCTCTTATATCAACATCCAATTCATCTGAACTTACTAATTGTATTTTCGTTTGAAAAATTTAATGTACACACACATACGAAACAACCATGCATATATTTGCGAGTGTGTACAGCTTTGAAAATGAATTCTCCGAAAAGAGACTCTTCGCTGAACTACTGGTCTGCTGTCTATTAATGTTCGAATGGGAATTTTTCATGAAATGCACATTAGTTGTGAAAAAAAGTGGTGATTCGGTAATACCAAGTGACTATCTACTATCTGTCTGCTTTCAATTTCCATTTAATAATCCCATGTATAATTAGTTGACTGAATCGCATAGTCTCATCCTCTTTATATATTCTTTCAATTGTACTCACACAGAATTTCAATCCAAATCGCATCTACGAATGTATTTATTTTGGAGGTTGTGCTTCAGAATTGCGTAATGAAGTAAGTGGAAAGATAAGCCTACAATTTATCAATTTTTATTGATAATAATGTAATCGTGTTTTGTCTGTTAAATACATAGCGTGTGAGGGTGTTTGAAAGTAATCTAAGGATAACATTTTAAGTGGTGATATGCTGGTTATAGTTTTGTTGTCAAACTAGGTAGCCTCTTCAAAGTATTGTTCACAATGAAATTGATGAGAATTAACTTTTTAACAGTTGCATAACTTCATATTCTTCAGTTTTTTTTGGATAGGTTTATCATTGTTAACTAGAGAATGATGAAACAATGGTTAGTTTTGATATAACTAGTCTTTATACTAACATACCAATCAATATGGCAGCCTTAGAAACAGTTGAAAAAAAGAACAAGCTTCAGATCCTGAACTCAATCATAGGACAAAGCTGCCCATTGAAGAAATTATTTTAGGAATTCAGTTATGCCTCACATCTACTATCTTTAAATTCCAAGGTAAAATATGTAGACAAACAGAAGATGTAGCAATGAGATGGATCACCAATATCCCCTATTGTAGCAGATATATTTATGGGCAGCTGGGAAAATATGGTTCTTAATACATTTAAGCCTACTCCAAAAATATGGTGGAGATATGTGGATGACACTTTCACAGTGTTAAAAACAGAACATATCTCTAGCTTCTTGACACATATAAACTCACAAGTTGAGGGTATAAAATTCACATTTGAACCGAAAAGTGAACAAGGAGAATTAGGTATGTTAGATTGTAAAATAAAACGAATAGAAGAAGGTAAACTACACACTAGTGTGTACAAAAAACCAACTCATTCTAATAGATACTTAGACTTTAATTCATCTCATCCGTTAACTGTTAAGGCAGGCTTAGTTAAGTGTTTAACAAACCGAGCAGTAGCACTAAGTAGCACAAGAAAAGACCTAAATGATGAAATAAAAGAGACAGAAGATGCTTTGGTGTTAAATAACTATCCTATAAAATTCATTAGGAAGATTGAAAAAGGCGAAAAAAAGAAGAAAAATAATTGTGAAACTAGTAATAACAACATAAATAAGAGAGAATATAAGTCATCTACAGTTATACTATATAAGGAGGGGACATCTGAAACCCTACGTAGGATTCTAAATAAAGCAGGAATTACGGTGGCATTTAAACGTACAAACTCACTCAGGTAGGACAAGCTCTGTAGGCTGAAGGACCCTGTAGATTGACTCAATTAGACAAAATAATATAATTTACAAAATACCTTGCAATGACTGTGAGTCAGGTCAACTACATAGGTCAAACTTGTAGGTCAGGGGTAGTCAGATTGTCAGAACATTAGAATTTAGCTAAGGTTAGAATGATTGATCCCACGGAGATAAGTAAGTTAGAAAAAACCTCAGCACTACATTGCACTGCATGCATTAACACACAACCACACAATAGGGTGGGAGAGGGTTAAAATTCTAAAAAGTAATACAGGTAGGTGGAGAGCGAGAGAGGTTGATTACTGAATCCTTGTTCATTGAGTCTACACCCAACACATGCAATAGAAATGATTCGTCACTCATACCCAAAATACTACTGCCAATCAAATCAAGTGAAAAACAATAGAACTATATAAATGAAGTTAGGAAGTCCTTGATTATGAGCAGTAGCAATATATTGTGCTCGAAACGTGGTCATCAGTAAACATTACTGTATAACACTGTGAGACTTTATCAAAACAAAATTTACCCATAATTGGATTCTGATTGGTTACAATGTCATGTGGTACAGGTCATACATTGTTTATTTAGTTAATGGACAGACGAAACATATTGTGAGTTAGAATGGAATAACGCACCTTAGACATATTCATGGATAATCCCTCTCCAGGCATTGTTTTGTTACCATAGTCACATAGCAAAATATATGAGAGACTGTCAAAACAAAGCAGACATCATGTGATGACATATCACTGATATCACAGGATATTTTTAAAATATACTTAATTGTTTCTGCGAGCTGCTGAATACTTATGAAAAGGCTTTTTGTCGACTGCCTAAAGTGTTTTGTCTGTAGTATTTGGGCGTTTTCTTATCCAATAGTTTGTATATGATTATCTATATGTTATTGGAAAGGGGATTTCTATAAATTTCAGCATCTTATGACTAAACATAGTTTGTACAAACGATTATTTAAAAAATCTCTGTATAGTCAGCTTAAAATTGAATTTCTTAGCTGCTCATTGAACTCGTTCCCTTCTTGTATAAGATCCTTGGATTCATAGAAATGGATTTCCACTGGCTTAGCTGCCTATTGGACTATCTGAACAGGGCAGGTCGCTAGTGAGCATCTCATTGATATTCAAGTATTGGTTTGTAGGGATTCGGTCGGCTGGTGACAGGATTTCATCATTTCATCATTTGACATTAGTTACAGAACCATTGGAAAACCAACTGGAAGTACTGGAAAGCTGTTTAGTCCTAGTTTGAGACTCTTCAGCAGTACGCACCCACCACAGGGGGTTCGAACCCAGGACCTTCTGGTTGCAAGGCGAGCTAGCTCGTATACCATTAAGCCACTGGGACCCGATCCAACGCCCACGAATTCTGACTTCTGCGAATTCACGACATAGCGCTACCCCTAGCCAATGTCTTCGTCGAGTATTTGTCCTCACACCTGACCTGCTGTACCCTACTGGTCAAGACTTCTCACTAGAACCCCAGGTAACTACCTACCTGAATAGGGCCAGTCGCTATTGAGCATCACATTGATATTCAATTGTTAGTTTGTAGGGATTTGATTGGTCGCGCCATGTCGTGAATTCGCAGAAGTTAGAATTCATGGGCGTTGGATAAGGCCCCAGTGGCTTAATGGTATGCGAGCTAGCTCACCTTGTAACCAGAAGGTCCTGGGTTCGAACCCCCTGTGGTGGGTGCGTACTGATGGAGAGTCTCAAACTAGGCTGACGAAACAGTTGTCCAGTACTCTCAGGTTTTCCAACGGTTCTCTAACCAATGTCAGCTCATGATGAAATCCTGTAACCAGTCAAATCCCTACAAACCAACACTTGATTATCTGAATATGATAAGGGAATGGGTTTGACAAAACAATTTTGAATACATAATTTAAGTTAACGTATAGCCATAGCTTTGGCTATGCACAAGTGAAGAAAACATGGGATTTTAAAGTGGATTTGGTCCTGTAGATGACTTGAAAGGATAAATCAAGTGGGGCTGAATGACCTGATTCTAGAAGGTGTTCACAGATTGAAGATTTTGTCGTCCTGTTCTCACTTTTCATTAACCAAACGGCATAGTGTTCAACTACGCGTTGCACACGAGCTGAGCACACACACTGTCTCCCCAAACTGTGTTTTTATTTTGGTTGATCGTGACCATCGGTAAGATCTGCACGGCACGTTTCGTCCTATTTGGAACTCGTTAGCTGTTGTGATGTTCTTCACTTAAGGGCTCGAACCTTGAGACAATGATTTCAATTACCCATACGTTATCCATTAGGCTGTGAGAGTCTATTCCTCAGAAGAATGAAGAACTTACTTAGTGACTGATATTCAAATTTTTTATTATACTTTTGTGAATGACGGCAACTTAATTGACTAATTCTCAACACTAGTCCATTTATCATTCAAATGATGATTGATTGTCACTATAATTTAGAAAAAAAGTACTTAAAACTTCTGATTGCATTCCAGATTAACTGGCATGAATTTCACGTTGTTTTAAGGTTTTCTTTTTTCCCGAAATTTTGTAACTTAACTATGGAAAAATTCCACGCGCCTGTTCTCCTTTTCATGAATTTGAATAAGGCGAAAACCACGATTTCAATTTATGTTATCAGTTTCCTGTCAGTCGCACACTAGCCATTCTAATTGTTATTTTTTAACTAAATGTATCCCAAGCCTCGTGAACACACACTTACAGAGTTAGCAAACAAAAGACTCCAAAGTTGATAATAAGGGAATTGTGCTCAGAAGTTACATTTATTTGTCTTTCAAGGGTTCAAGTTAATTTTTCAACAACGAAAGATGGATACTTTTAAGAAGACGCTACACTAAACAAGACAAGAGATGGATAGGCTGCTGATAAGTGACTAGTGAGTTGCGTGGTAATCATAGTGAGTTCGACTCAGATAATAGAAAGAGAAACAAAAGAAAAAATCCCAATCAATAATACATCAAAGTGGGGGAAAATAAAGCGAAACGTTATGTAATCAAATTAAGGGAAGAGCCAGGTGATTGCGTTACCAAAGTGAATAAACACATATAACTGCTTCTTACTGGACATGTAAATCAAGTTTCACACATATGATAGCTACTGACTTAGCAAACCTGAGAAGAATTGTTTGTCTTGTCTATTGAGGTCACTTGTTAGGCCCCGGTGTGGAATCTAAAGGGAAAACGATGAGTTTACATTGGGGTTAGACAGGGTTGCCCAATCTCTCCATTTCTCTTTAAATTTGTCATCATTAACATTCTGAAGTCAGCTCTGAAGGATGTGCGTGAAGGTGGTGTAGATCTGCTACCTGGAGATAGACTTTTCGACCTAAAGTATGCAGACGATATCGTCTTACTGTGCGATAGCATGCATGCTGCCCAAATCGCATTTAATCAGTTGGTGAACAGTGTCTGTAAGTATGGCATGTGGTTTGCGCCGTCTAAGTGCAAAGTACTGTTACAAGAATGCTGGCAGGAGCCTGTACTTCCACTCACTCTTGCGGGTGAACCGCTTGAAGTTATCGATGTGTTTGTGTACCTAGGTAGTTGTGTGAGTGCTAGTGGAGGGGTGACGGATGAGATTTCCAACCGTATAATGAAGGCTAGGGTGGCATACATCAACTTGAGCCACCTATGGTGCCGTCGCGATGTTAGCCTGACTGTCAAAGGTGGGGTATACAATGCTTCGGTGCGGGCGGGCTGTCTTGCTCTACGTCTGTGAAACCTGGCCTCTCCGAGTAGGCTGAGGATGTTCGGCGACTCTGCGTGTTCCATCATCGCTGTCTCCATAGGATTGCTTGTGTTCGATGGCATCATCGTGTGAGTAATTCTGAGGCTCGGTGGCGTGTGTTTGAACACAGTGGAGATCACTGTTCTCATTGAGTGTCGTCATCTGGAAACACCGGCTCCGGTGGCTTGAACATGTGCTGCAAATGTCATCCCAGAGGCTTCCGTACAGGTCTCTGTTCGCTAGCCAGCCCTGGGATGGGATGAAAAAGGCGGAGAGGTGGTAAGTCCATGACGTGGCGTCGTTGGACGAAGGATGTTTGTGCTAGATTAGCATCGGTTGGTGTGTGTGTTGACTCCCTGGTCGGGGTCCGCGAGATAGCTCAAATCGATGACTCGAAACGTTATCGGATATAGCCAAGAATCGTAATCAATGGTGAACGTGTTGCAATTTCCTTCTTTCTTCCCTTCCCGATGATAGTTAACGAATACTGTTTGAACTTGTTAAGCGCGACTGTATTCCTTCCAGATGAAGTTCTTTATCCGTTCTCTACTTTTATTTTTTTGGATCTATGATGTTTTATTATTATTGTGTGGCGCATCTTTCTTGGTGCCATACTGTACCAAGTTTTTCTATGCGTTTAAATAAATAAATAAAAAAAATAAATTACATGGAAGAGATCATGTGAATGTGAGACGAGAGCTTATGGGCAATCGTGGAACAGGCTAAATAGGATTGTAGAGGACAAGATAAAATAGAGATTTGCTGTCGAAGCCCTATATTCCACTCGGAACCCAAGGAAATAATAAATATCGATTATTGTAAAAGGCTTCAAGATATCCTATTTCATGATGCGTATTGACTAGACGCCTGGGAGTTTTATTGTCGGAACTATTTGTTTTTAGGCACGCAGGTGCGTACTTCTTCCTGTTCTCCCAGTATATCTGCTTCTGTGGATACATGTAAGTTTGTATAACCAGTTACAGTTAACACAGAAATAGTATTTGTCTACCTTTGACTGTACTAAAAGGGAATGTTGTCTGGTACACTGGAAGAAACTTTGGCAGGTTGTGAAGTATTCACTCTCATACTAAGATTTGTATATAACAATCTGATTAAATTTCTTTAAAAATGCATAGCTTGATGAATGTATCTGAGTGTGTCTCTCTTACAATTTATGATTTGTTTCATTTCTCTATTCGTGTTGAGAAATGTTTCATTCTCGATGACTAGACTTGATAGAAAGCCTCTTCCTTTTGAATACTTTCTGTACGAATTTTGAACTTCTTTTTTCCCAACGTTATCCATCAAATCCGATGTTTGGATGTGTGAAGAAATTACGGCTAAAGTTTCATGGAGATTTTCTATTCTTGTGGAGTTTTTCAGATTTTTTAGCATAAATGTCAAATAGTATTGGTTCATCGGGAAACAGATGAACAAATCTCAGGTGTCCAAAATGACGGATACCATTTTCTAGTCCCAATAAGAAATTCAATTGTGATGACGAAATATCGGCAAGTTGCATCTTAAGAAAAATTGACTACAACGTTGAAAAGTTTACTTGTAACAACAGAAGACAAGGGCCAGGCAACAGATCGTTTTATTATGAAAATCAACACGTATTTATACATATTTCACATACATTATTATAGCTTATGCAAGTAGACAAGCGCAGTCATCTGATTGGTTGTTTATCAGAAGTTAGGCAGACAAACGCAGGCTTCTGATTGGTTGTTTCGGGATTCCTCGACAAATAGAGTTCTCTATCTGCGAATCATATTTTGCCACGTTAACTTTGCTGTGATTGGTTGTTGAATCAGCCTTGCTCATATTTTCTCACGGCCTGCTCTCACCACATACTCTCTAAACTGCGAATTTTGTATCTGGACAGTGATGATAATTATATATTCTCAGTATGATCATGAAATGATTTCATTTAAAGAAGCACGGAGAACTCAAGAGTACTGAACAGCTGCTTCATCCTAATTTGAAACTCTCCACCACTACTCATCTTCAGACTACACGGGCAAGATCGTTGGTATAGGTCAGAATTCACAGATCATCGGTCACTGTGCGTTGGTGGCACAGTGGTTAGGACTCTCGCCGACCATGCACATGGTCCGGGGTTCGAGCCCGCACCGACGCACACCTGATATCTGTGGTCGGCCTGCAAAATTTGGGCTACCGATATCCATGCTGAAAATTCCATACTTGTACCGAAAATACAGTGTGGAATCAAGCTGTAATAAAAAATAAAAAATAAAAAAATAAATAAAAAAAAAGTGACTGAATGTTCAACGAGCATGGCCTCGTGGCCTAAACGTCATGGATTCGACCCAAGGTGGGATCGTTGGTACGTACTGTTGCAGATTCCCAAACTAGGATGAGACAGCTGTCCAGAGTACTTCGTGGCTTTCAATGATCATCTAACTGACATCAATCCGTGGGCAAACCTGAAACAAATCAAATTCTTACAAATGTATGTTTAAATCACACAGTTTGCGATTTATCAAAATAAAATCTTATCCATAATGGAGTTATGCTCTACCACAGTGCCCAAGTTTTATACCAATAAATGTATGTATATATAATAAATAGTCCAGAAGAACTTTATTATTCACGTTCGATTGCTGAACTTACAAATAGTTTTAGTAAACAACCAGTGTGAGCGCAATATCGCTTGAAATTAAGTCACGCGTAGATAAAGGCTATCCCTGTCCAGAACAAACAAGAAGCCGGTCACTGTTTCTACGGTACTATTAATAAACAAATCAATAATTATATATACAACAAACCTTAACGGTTTCAAGAGTACAAAGCACAACACTTAACAGAAAGCAAGGTACCGCTATCAGAGCGGAATAACGATAAAGCCAAAATCGCAAACTAGGCAGAATCAGACACGACCGTTCAGGTAAGCAGTTATTAGAAGAATGAACCCAAGTAAGGCAGGGCATAGAACAGAGAGCGGTTAAGCGAGATAGACCGAGCATAGGCACAAAGATAGAATTTAATTGGCTACTTAACCAGGTAGGCTGATACAGATGAAGATCAATAAATAAGATAAACTCGACAGAATAGTACAAAGTAAGACACGGGTCAGCAGAAATAACAGTTCACAAAATACTCTGATTGGGTCATGAGTTCAACTGTCTGACTAAACGGATCGATGTAAAAAGACATACACACAGTCCATTAAACAAGGGGGATAGACACATTAGGCATGGATAATTGGGTTGCACCAACGCTAGGCTGATCCAGGACAGGTTGACTTGATTCAAGGATGGGAACTGAACTGATCTTACAACCAGTTTTGATGTACACTTTTTGACATATTTGAACAAAAACGTATATTACTTTTAATGTTGGCGAAAATGAAAACAAAAGATCTTGGCCAATGACGTCGACGATGTTCAACTGTCCAATACACCTTGGATATTATCACTGAGTCTCTCAGATGTATCTTCCTAGCAAAATCTCTACTAAAATTGGTCAAAATCTCTGCAACATCTGCAAGTAAACCGTTACTGTTCAACTGATTTCATCAAATTACGTAGTCGGCAGTTTTTTTTCTCTATCTTCAAGACTCAATGTGATGAGTTAAAAAAGAAGCAGTTACCTGAAACTTTTGTTTTAACCAATGTAATTAAATGGCGGTTGAATTTGAAAAGATTAAGGCGGTTTAATTGTTTCAGTTAAGGATTAGTCAGCGATAAAAGTGTACACGTAATTGTTATCGTCAGTTAATATCAACATGCTGTATAATCGTCACCAATTCAATATCTACACACCACTTTGTTTTAATGCATATTTTTTATTGATTTATTCTATTTTAATTTGAAATTCAGGTATGGCCATATCTATTAGGTGCTTATACCTGGTCAATGAATGAAAGTGAAAAAAATCAAATTGATCAACAACTTCGTGAACATTACAATGCAAAATTGAAAGAATGGATGAAATTGGAAGAGATTATTCTTAGAACGGAAGAAAAATGTACAACTCATCCATCTACAATCTCTCAACCTACTGAGTGTCAGCTTGGAAAGGATTCATCTGAAAATGCTTCACCATGTTATTCAGACTATAATGTGAGCATTGTAAACCTGTTGCTTATTACCTTGAAATTTGAAATTTTATAATGTTTTTAAAATTTATTGTAATTTGGGCATTTCACCTGTAATTAAAGGTTGTTTGTTAATGTTATGACTCAGAAGAATTTTCACTAACAACTGAAGGGATGAAAATGGCACAACACTGAAGGGCAGCAGTTGTCTTTTAGAAGTGGTGTTCTAGGTGAACAAATATCTATAATTCTTGTGAGTTTATTAGTTTGTCTGCTTGTTGAAATAAAGTAGAAACAGCAATAATGAGCAGATGTTATCCACAGGTAGATAATTCGTGTCAATTATACTGGTGAGAAAATATCATTTACTTGACGGTTTGCAGCAGTGAATTCCAGGACACGCGTTTCGTGTTATTTGAGATGACATATGCATATGAAAAAGAGAAGACATTCAGCGAAGAGACTCTTTTCGGTGAATTCATTCACATAGCTGTATAATCTCATTTATATATAATTATTTGTGTGTGTGTACATGAGGTTTGTCAAGTTTAGATAATTGATCAGGTAATACAAGAATGATCTAATATCGAAACAAGGTTAATTAGACAGCAACTAAAGTAAGACTGAGTTAGTAAGTTAGATGACGTGACATAAATGACTAGAAGTTGGCCGTTGGTCAAGTCAGTGACAGTGGTAATGAGGTGCAGAAATTAAGTCGGGTGGGGGTAGAGAACAAGAAGGTTGAAAATGTGAAATATTACAATTGAGAAGACAAAATAATACTGATGAATAGACTGAAGAGAAAAGGATTAGGTAGAATTTACCTGTCGAGTATTAAGATGGATAACATCCACTGAAGGTGTAGTGATTGAACGAACTTCTTCTGTATGCAGAGTTCAGGGCTTACCAAGTGAATCGCCATTGCTTCTGCAGTTTGAAGAAGGCGATTCACTTGCTAAGCCCTGAATCCTGTATACAGAAGAAGTTCGTTCAATCACTACACTTGCAATGGATGTAATCTATATTATTATCCAACAAGTAAATTCTACCTAATCGGGTGGGGACCCGACTTAATTTCTGCACCTTATTACCACTGTCACTGACTTGACCAACGTTCAACTTCTAGTCACTTATGTCACGTCATCTAACTTACTAACTCAGTCTTATTTTAGTTGTTGTCTGATTAACCTTGTTTCTATATTAGATCATTCTTGTATTACCTGATTAATTATCTAAACTTGACAAACCTCATGTACACACACACAAATAATTATATATAAATGAGATTATACAGCTATGTGAATGAATTCACCGGAAAGAGTCTCTTCGCTGAATGTCATCTCTTTTTCATATGACTCAATGGGGATTTTCAAGCTACATATGGATATGTCTGCATTGCCGGTAAGTGGCAGCTTCCTCAGGGGAAACTCAAGCTCAGCATCTATCCTTATAAACACCGTAGAGCATGTATACCTTTGTTTTTGAGCTTTAACTTTCTTTTATGAATACATCACTATTTCTGGCGGCTGGATTAAACCACTGTGGTACCCACAGTGGTTTTTCACGCAGCATAAAATGCTTTCTGTTCTCTAATTCACCAATTAAGTCGTCTGAAAGTGATATAAACTCACCAACATTTTGCATTGACTTCCAGCCTTTTGCTTTGCAATGTAAGAAGAAAATGAAACAAAAACATTGTAGAGTATTGAGTCTTGTTTCAGATAGAATGATGTTGTGTCATACAATATATATTATGTCAATGAATATTTTAACTGAAAGTTCTACATAGAGAATAAACTTTTCACAAGAAATTACGCTGAGAATTATATACTGTGTTTCAAAATAGTTTCCAGAATAATATATATCCAGATGTGAGGACAAATACTCTCCGAAGACATTGGCTAGTGGTTGCGCTATGTCCTGAATTGGCAGAAGCTAGAATTCATGGGCCATTGGGTCGGGTCCCAGTGGCTTAATGGTATACGAGCTCACCTTGTAACCAGAAAGTCCTGGATTCAAACCCTGGCGGTTGGTGCGTGCTGATGAAGAGTCTGAAACTGGGATGAAACAGCTGTCTGTGTCGAGTACTCCCAGGTTTTCCAATGGTTCTCTAACCAATGTCAGCTCATTATGAAATCTTAGAACCAATCAAATCCCTACAAACCAATACTTGAATGTAGATGAGATGCTCACCAGCGCCTTGCCCTATTCAGGTAGGTAGTTACCTGGGATTCTAGTGAGAAGTGGTGACCAGTAGGGTGCAGCAGGTCGGGTGTGAGGACAAATATTCGCCGAAGACATTATTCCCTTGGATTCTGAGTGGAGCATAGGGCTTCAACAACACATCCTCACTTCCTTCTATATCCTGATATCCTCTCGAACTGGGTGCACGATTGACCATAATCTCTCATCTCTCTCTTGCACGATCGCCTCCATATCACCCTGGCATTAACGACCCACTCATCACTTCCCATTGGCGTTCCACTCGAAGGCCTGGCTCACTATGTCATTCATCCGTCTTCTCAGTGTGTGGCCAATCCATATCCATTTTTTTCAGCGTATCTGTTGAGCAATCGGCTCTTAGTTAGTCTATTCCCCCACAGAGTTTCTTGTTGCTAATTCTTTCTTGCCGGCTGCCCATTTACCTTCCCTATGGAGCCAGCAAGTGGGACAGATGATAAAGGTCTGCAACTTGTTGAAAATCCCTTACGTGACGCTCAGTCAAGTTTCTGACCCATACAAAAAAACCAACTGACTTCACATTTGTGTTGAACAGAAACCGAATCTTGTTTTTTATGCTGGCTGAGTGCAGAAGATTTCCAACCTGGTTTCAGGTTGATGAAGGTGCATCTTGCCTTATCGTTTCTATTTTCAGCATCTTTATCCGTTCCGATTGTGGTTGAAATCATGCTTCCTCGCCAGATAAGTGAAGGCAAGAAGTGACCTCTGTCAAATCTCTCCCGTTGATGTTGATTATTTCCAGAATAAAATCGATATTATTATTATTGTGTTTTTCAACTGACTGAAACTGTTACATTTTCCACACAAACCAACATAAGTTAGAGAGATCACTGGAAACTATGGGGCACTGGACAGCTGTTTCATCCTATGCTGGAATTACTGAGCACCCACAATCCCACCAAAGATCGAAAGCGAGAACCTTCAAGTTTCGAGACCAAGTTCGCTGACCATTCAGTTATTTTCCATGGAATCGAATGCCCCCTGAATTCTCTTTATGTCCACTTGTTAAATAGCTCCGCCCACATATGCATGACCAGGGTTCGAACCCTGTTGGGATCGTAGGTGACAATTGATGAAGAGGCACAGAGTAGGACGAAGTAGCTGTTCAGTACTCCCTGGACTTCAATGATCTTTTGAACTGATGGGATGGTTAGCAACGAAAACCTGACAATTGTAATCAATTCAAAATCCCCACAAATTCTGTAAATCTAAATTTCAATTTAATACTGATTAAAATCCAGTTTCACTTGACTTGAAGGAAACACTTCGACCTAAAACTAGAAATGGTTACCTGTCACCGTCAGTTAAACAGACTTCCTTTCTATTATTATTATTATTATTATTATTATTATTATTATTATTATCATTGCACGTCTCCACATGCCACTTCTGTCTTCCTTCTGTTCTACTTTTCACCTGCATCCATGTTAGTCCATACTGGCTGTTTCAATTCCTCTTCACACGATCTCCTCCATGTCACCCTTGCACTGACGTCTCACTCACCACGTACTTTCCTTTTGGCCTGGTTCCATTCGAGCAATGGCCTGACGCGCCATATCACCCAGTGGCCTCCTCAACGAGTGACTAATCCATCTCCACTTTCTCCTGCATATTTGTTGGTTGGCGATTGGTTCTTGTTTTGTTTGTTTGTGCCCATAGTTTCTTGTTGGTAATTCTTTCCGGCCCAGCCATCTGATCTTCAGTATAGAGCCAGCGAAGACAGCTGCTTGTAAATGTCTGCAACAGGCTGTTGGAAATATTCTCTGTGACCCACCCGTCAAGTTTCTGATCCGTATAGAAGAACTGACTAAGCTCAGAAAATTACCCGACTTTGGGTGTAAAATTCAACTGCATGTGTTTCACTAAACACTTACAAGATTAAAACTCTCTTATTTCATTAAGTATACCAACATATATCAGGTAAGAAGCGTAGACAAACACTGTATTATAAGTCAGTTCATTATATATGCCTCCAAAGCCTCAGGATGGTCGGGGATGGGTGTCTTGCGCTGCGGGTTGGCCACCCCTCCGCACACCTCTTGAAATGCTCCCATATGACCGTGCGTCTTACATAGCCTCTCCTGAGGAAGTCCTACTCACTGCCTTCACGTGGCGGAGGTGTTTCTCACTAAAGCGAGAGGGCAAAAGCGGATGCCCGGCGCTCTCCACCGGGTTGACTGTCCATTGGATGACAGTCTAGGGGAGATGGCTAAACCCTGATTCCAAACCTCCAACGACTGGCGTATGAAGCTCACCGGAGCTCACCGGCAGACGTATGGACAAAGGGCTTGTTGGATGTCCTGGATGTCTGGCCCCATTCAAAAAGGCGTATGAACCGAACTCCGGTCACCGGCTGCCAATGGATAGTGGGCTCCCTACTCCACTCCTACTGTCTTGTAGGTCACACTTGGCTGTGTAAAGGCTAGAGCTGCACTCTCAAACAAAAGGCCGAGCGATGCTGGGGACATCACTCGTACCAAATTCCCAAGAAACTTCATGAACTCGTTCATGAAGCGGGCTCATCCTCCCGTAGGAGATAGCCGAAGTAAAGTAAAAGTAAAGTATATGCGTTTATAACTGAAGTCGTCAGGGGTAGGCCTTATGAAAGGCTAAGTGTATTTTATTCTCAGAAATTTTAAGAACATCACTATTGTGATTGTGAAGAGTGAGTGAAATGGACGAAATTGTGTGAAGAAGAGATAAGACAAGAGCTTATATGCAGTCGTGAAGACAGCTAGAGAGGATTGCAGAGGACAGGATGAAATCGAGACGTGCTGTTGAAGT